GCTGTGGAACTGTGGTTACTGCATTTTAAGACTTTAAATAATATACTCTCTATGTACCATCAAGCAGGCTCCTGAGCATTCATGGCATGTTCTCAAATCTTGCTTCCAGGGAAGCAGGGAGGATCCTGTTCTTTGTGGCACCTATAACAGTGACAGCACTAGAGAAGCCTGCTCTCCCATAACTGTGCAAAGGCCAGTAAAATAATATGGAGACAAACAGTGGAGTCAGGAATTACACCTACATGCAGCAGTGCAAAGAAATCTAGAAAATAATATTGAAAGAATTAAAATGCAGAATGAACAAGCTAAAACGTTCCCATTTTAGCACAAAAATATACATACATGGGGTTGGAGTGTAGAGCAGTGTAGAGCACATATAGAGTGTGCTTATTCATATCTAGGGTCTACAGCCAGCATATAAAATGTACATGAAGCCATGGGGTATAATCTAATCATGATGATAAGTGGTACAATATGGAAATAAAATACACCTGCAACAGGTTTCTCAAGCACAGCGCTAGTGATATTTAGGCCCAAGATTTCCTTCTAAAAAGGTCTGCCCCATTTTTTTCTATGACATTATTCAACATCCTTGATCTCCACTCTCAAGATATTTCTAAATCTTTCTCATGATCTATATTATGATTGAAAGTAAAAAGGTTGAGACACATTCCAGGGTTTTTCATGTGCAGAATTACTATTGCTGGAAAGGACTCACAGAAGATGCAGTGGACACAGATCTCAAATGACAAGGTACAAAAATAGGCAAAGACCCCCAAGAGCTTCCAAATTGCTACCGCTGCACTTCAAGTTCAGCAAGTCTTTCCAAAGTACTCTGCTATTATCCTTGCGACCCTTTCCTTGTCCTTAAAATCTGTGATACATTTCAGATGTCAGTGTGAAAAGCTAGAACAGCCTCCACAATTTCATGCTTCAAGATGACACCCACAGGAAGCTACCAACAGACTAAACTGTGCCTTAAACTGAAGCTGGTGCTGAATCTCAGCTATGGCATAGGCCATCCTCATGCCAATCTGCAGTACAGCCACACAGAATTCACAGGCCAAGAGAACTCAAATTCCCCAAGAGAGGAATTTCAGGGATTGCAGGCTCTTTTGATTTATGGGACATGTAACAATGGTTCATGGTATTCTCTTTTCCCACAGAGATATGTATCACTGTCAAGGGGAAAGAGCCTTGGAATTCATAGTACTGGACAGACATGCGTTCAGCCCATTAATGTTACAGAAATGAAAGTGGGCTTCTATGAGAAGGCAAACTGGCATGGCAAGGCAGTTTACTCAAGATAAAACAGTTAGAAAGTTTCCCAAAACCAGCATGAATTAGAACTACAAATGGAAGTGCTTTATCTTCAGCCAGACACATGGTTGGTGGTTTGTGTTCAAAATGCTCATGCTCAGTCTGATCATTGAAAATCTCTACCCTATCCCCTTGTTAGGGTCATGCAAACCAGACACTGTGAACAAAGTAGGGACATTTCATAAGGATCATCATCATCCAAACTAGTCAAAGCAAAAGAAGAAACACAAAATTCATAGTGTTCCTTTTCCAAATACTATTCATGTAATTCTCCTGATTCAGTTGTTTTGGAAAACCTGACTAATACAGCACTCAAAAGAAGAAACAGTAAGTTAAGTAACATGTTCTATAGAGAACTTTAAGACGATTTCAAGGTATTCTAGTGACATTGCTGAAGTTAGCAAAAATATGGTCAACTTAAAGGAAGTTCAAAAAGAAATGTGTTGAAAGTGCACAGAATATACCTACTCAAGTCAACATTACTTGTACACCTTGGAACTTTTAAACCTGCTCAACAATTTGCTTAATTTGTGTTTGGGGAAACATATATAACATCTTCCAAATTTCATAATGAATTACTAATATCTCTTGAACTTTACTGAATGTAGTCCACTGTAATCACTAATTGCTCAGCACCAATGTCCTGCTGCTGACAGAGCAGTGATTCATGATTGCTGTCCTCCATCATGCACAAGTAGTGTACCACATATCACTAGTGCACAAAATGAATAGAAAAATATAAAATAAAAAGTAAAAAATTAAATAGAAAAGATTTCCACTAGAATGTTTTACTGTATTTTTGAGAAGATTTTTTTACAGGGCCCAGGGAATGTTAAAATTACTGTTCACTAGAGATAAATCCTAGAATTTAGATTTTATATTGAAAGAGTCCCAATTCTTTAGGCCATTGTTATAAGACTTCTGGTTTCAGTTCCTCAAGCAACTGAGAATAAAGACTTGAAGTATTATACCTCACCAATATTTACTTTACCCAAGCATTTAAATCTTGGTACATCACAATAGATATAAACACCCCAACCTTAAACTGGCATGGTGACACATATGTATTATCCCCACAGTCAGAGACTTAAAAACACTATTAAAAATTCACACCTCCTGGAGGGCAACTTAGTAAGTCCTGGCCTCCAAGATTTTAGAAAATTAAAAACTTAGCTCAGAGCAAAACTCCAGAGTTCAGTCCCTGTACACACACACACACAGCACGCTGAGTGTGGTGCTGTATACCTATGGTACCAGCTCTTGGGATGCTGAGGCAAGATGACTGCCATGAGTTAGAGGCCTGCCTGCATTACAAAGTGAGATCCTGTCTCAAAAATTAATAAACAAACTAAAATTATCAAGAACACCTTGAAATCTCTGATCTGTTGGGGATACCCCCATCATTCTACTTCAGCTATGGTGTCCACATTAATTTTAAATCTAAAACTAAGCCAGATAGTTTACTAATTTCAGATTTTGCCTTGAAAATCATTAGATGAACTTATCAGTGGTAGCAGAAGGCATAGTTACCTACTATTAAGCTCCCATCTTTTCTTTAAATCTGTGACCTTTGCCCAATTCACAGAGCAAGCAAGCACACAAGTCTTCCTTCATGCTTACCCTCAGGACAATCTGAGTTTCAGAATCTTCTATATTTTAGACACTACTATTGGCTAAACAAAAATCCTTAATTACTAACCATTAATACGCTGCACAACTACTACTTCCAGCTTCTCCCCTGCTCTAGTACTCCTTGGAAACTAACACAAGCAGCCTTTTTCTATTTAAAAATATGAACAATTAGGCCAAGAACTATAGCCCTTAATACAGAGATGATGTCCTGGCTGCTTTCCACTCCTACACATATCACAAATGTATGCCCAGGTAAATACCCCAATTCAAGGTTTCTCTCAATGTGTGCTTAATAGGCAGCCCCATCTGGAAGTTTTCTCTGCAAGGTACACTTTCCATTTCTTTGCTAAGGCTTTACCAACCACTATGTTTTCCTTGGCGTTCTAACTCTGTGGCAGAACTCATTTGAACTGTCTAATTGTGAGTGGACCTATCATCTAAATAAATTTTTAAATTTTTTTTCCATTGCTCTGCATGGAACTCAGGAGTCCACTGGGATTTTGGCAGGTACTCTTCCACTGGAGCACATCACCACACTGTTACCAATTCTCAGCTTCTTAATACCTAACATGGTTCTAGAAATGTAGGAAGGTAGTGTAAATTTAGAGGATCACTACAAAGATTAAAAAGCAAAAATTTGAGGTGGAATTGTGAGTATGAATTCCTGCAACACAGATATTTATAACTTTCAGATATTTCAGCTGTGCTGCTGATAGAAATGAAACCAGGGACCTAGTTCATCACCAGCGGATCCACCTACAGTTTGCATCTTGGATCTTCCTGAGGGCCCTGCTCTGCCCAGAATGGTGCACATGCAAATGTAGCAGTGGGTTTCTCAAGAGGGCACTCAGGCTGTCAGTGTCATAGCGGACAAAATGTCCTGAGAACTCAGTACTGGTCTTGCGCTAGCAATGTTATAGGCAGCTGAGTTAAGTAGAAATATTATATGCAGTCAGAGAGGGCTAGGCCCTCAGTGGAGCCAGTGCAAAAGACCAGACACCTTGCAACTATGGGGGTAACAATCACCTCCCTCTGTGGTCCAGGTCTCAAGACAAATGAGAAAACAAACAAAACCACAATTTCAGTGTAAACATCAGGGATTAATAGTCTCAACAGATATTCATCACCTTGAGGAAGCCAGAAGAAGCACTAATCTGTCTCCTTAGGGCAAAGAACCTGCTCCTCCATGCTGCTATCCCTCTTGGATCCCAATTTAATCCCAATTTAATCATTTACCTGAGCAAATAACTCATAATCTTGACTGACCACAATTTTGTCCAACCTCATCCTTCTGCACTGTGAGTTTCCATTTTTGCCCACTTTGGACCCCCCTCAACTTGTGGTTTTGTTCTGTAAAAATCCCTAGAAAACCAGGGTCCTAGGAAACCCATAGAGGACCCATTCTCTCTGTCTTTTTATTTCTGGATTCCATCTTTCTCGATGTCCCTCTCTCTCTTTCAGACACGGTAGATTGCTCCAGCGTGGGGCTTAGCTATGCCTAACAAGACCTTCTTCCAACTTGGAACTGGGCTCAGAGAAGCAACTTGTCTCTCCAAGAGTAACTCCTATGCTTCTTTGTCTCTATCGTGCTAAAATCTTATTGGGACACAGCTTTCTTTCTATCAATAAATACATAGTTCTCTCTTAAACTCCAGTGACCCTAAAATTCATTCTTTGATTTTAGAGAACACAAACTCATACCGGACGTTTAGTAGGTTGTGAGTTTGTTTTTTTGTTTTTTTGTTTTTTTCCTTTATATCAGCAAAGGTCAAAAGGAACAAGGAATGACTCAACTCACATCTGAAACTACATCAGGATCCGGAGCTACGGCTGGGGGAGGAGGGGGATGGGCCTAGTCACTACAGTTAGGGGTTTTTTTCTCCCCTTTGGTACCAGGATTCAAACTCACGATGTCGCACTTTTCCGACAAGCGCTGTGTCTCTGAGCTACATCCCGGCCCCTAGGCCACCATACATAGTTCAGACCAATTCTAACACGACCTCTTCCAGATCCCACTCCATTTCAAAGCTCCCGTCCCACAGCGTTACCATTATGCAGCTTGAAGGTCTCCTGGAGTCTTTTCTATGCAGCCTATAACTTGTATAAATCACAGAAAGCAGCCGATCCAGCTGGAATGCTCTCAGTAACAAGCTCCAGACACTTTGACGCCATGACACCGGAAGAACACGCCCTCTTGGCCTTTTCTGATTGGACAGTTTATACAGTTGGCTTCCTTTTCATTGATTGACTTCCGCAATATTGCCCGCCCTCTGAGCTAGCGGCAAAAGAAAAACAAACAAAACCTGCAAGAGTGCAGCCCAGGTGCAAGACTGTAATGCAGAAGGGGCTGGGGATTTAGCTCAGCGGCATAAGCGCCTGCCTTGAAGGCAGACAGTCGTGAGTTCGATCCCCGGTACCGATAGAAAAAGAAAAAGACCAAAAAAAAAAAAAAAAAAAAAATCTTGTGCAGGAAAGATTCTGTACCACCGTTATGTCACGTTAGTGCTTGGTAGTGGCTCTTTCTACTTAATATTAGAAACAATTGTAAGTTGCTTTTGGGGCTGGGGATTTAGCTCAGCGGCATAAGCACCTGCCTTGCAAGCAGGCGGTCGTGAGTTCGATTCCCGGTACCGATAATAATGAAAAAGACAAAAAAAAAAAAAAAAAAAAAAAAAAAAAAAAAAAACACTGTAATGCAGAGACTTCTGGACCAGGTTCTCTTATAAAATGTTAATCTCATCTCGCCTGCCTAATAGTACTTGCATTTAAAGGCTTTATCCTGAGGTCTCAGAATTAACCCAATTTTCTTATAAGACTCAGTGGACTCTAACTAAAAACGGGCCACGAATATGTTCAAGAGGTTCCAGGGTCAGTATTCTAGTAAAGACTCACTAGTCTTATGTCAGAAAACAACCTGGGTCCAGGCCAGCCCAGGACACAATGCAATAGAGGGAGAACTGACTATTTGAGAGATCAGTATCCAAGAATGAAGAATCTGGCTTCAATCTGAAGATTTTCACATTATGTCTATCAATCTATTAATTTTTCAGCTTTAAAATGAATTTCTGTCCCTGAAAAGGAACACAAAGCGTTATAGTTAACATTAAAATTTTCTGCAGATATTCATGGCTTTAATAAAAGCCACCTAGTGCCTACACAGTTCAGAAGTTCAAACTTTATTGTTATTAGAATAAATACCACGGATTTCCAGAAAAATTGCATGTTTCAGATTATATACTCTATATAGTTTTAAAATTATTAGTTGTCATTCATTTTTACATCAATGGGACAAAAGATGCAAAACCTAAAATGCGAAGTTTTATTTGTCTCCCAGTATCAGCCACATGGTCTACTAATTGCAAGGCAGAAATACAATGGCAGAGTCACATGGTGAAGAAAAATGCTCTCCAAAGGTGCCAGCCAGGAAGCCGAAAAAGATAGGTAAGCTGCCGACAGAACACGTTTGCAGAACTTGCTGCAAGTGGCTCATCTGTAACAAGACCCATCCTCCTCACAGCATTTTCATACACTGAAATCATCAATAGATTAATGATGAATACTGATTCCACACAATGCAGTCAACTTTGAAACTTACAAAACATTTCAGATAAAACCATGACACTGATGTTGGAAGGAATAACAAGACATGCAACAGCACAGAAACCTCACACAGGATCCAGGACACTCCCCTTGACTGTGCATATGCACTTCACAGTATGGTGAGGAGTGAATTTAGGATTAGTGTTAGGCTCAAGCATTGAGATGCCAAAGGTCAGTCTCTGGCCATGGTGGTTACCTCAACTTGACAGTATACTTATATCCTGGAAGCAATCTCAATCCAAAGTACAGGGCCAAAAGAAACAAATGGGCACCACTATAGTTTCACCTAGGACCAAATATTCCAACTGATGCCGATAGAACTAGTTCCTGACAAGGATGTTTCTGTTCACTTTCAACCATGAATCATGTCTTAACCACAACCCCCACTCTGATCTTGGATCATTGGGCAGTGCACAAGCATTATTTTTGGATTAATTCTCTCCCAGTGTTTTTCCCATGCAGGTACTATCATTAGATCCCACAAACAAGTCAAGTTTAGCAGGTAGGAAGGTACTCAGCAACACACTGGGAGCTTCTGCCTTGGATGCCTGACAGAGGAGAACCCACTTCTCTGGCCAGTGTATGTGACTGGATGATTCACATAGTACAAACTCTTCTTCGCTGATGCCAGGCTGCTCAGTTTCGTGTACGATGACTCAATAGGCACAAGAGTAACAGTGTACTACCTGCATGTATGACATCGAAATACTACACTCTAATCAAATTCTTCTCTGTCTAGTCTCACTCCATCTTTGATCACTTCTTTCCTTGATGTTGCCATCACCAGCCTGAAGGATTATAGCCCTGAAGCAGGATTTACTTCTAGCCTTTTAAAGCTGCTTGTATCTTCTTACTATTCCCAGTGGGACCTTCCTATTTTTTGTTCCTAAAAATTTGATCCTGAAATTACTCCAGAATTTCTAAATTCAAAGCCAAATGGAAAAAATCCCCAGACCCAATAATGTGTCTCCAGGCAAGAGTAGGACAAGATGGAATAGAAGGAAAGCACTAATTCTTTTTGAAAGAAGAGAGGCATTCTTAAATTAAAATCCATGAAATAAAATTCCAATAGCTTTGGAACTGAACAATGTGTATACAAAATAAAAATTTTGAGGGTTTTTAAAGTGCTTTTTAATGTGTAACTCAACAATTTTCTATTTTAAAATGATAGTAGAAATCAAAAATAAAAACTATAATGCAGAAATTCAAAACATGATAACAAGAAATTAACAATGGCTAATATATTGTGATTTGTTGGGAAGACCCAATATTTATAAAAGGTGGCTTCCTAGCACAGATTTTCTCAAAGCCTATCTCTCCATCTAGACATTTTCAGCCAAGGAAAGAAAACCATGTGAGAAAGAGAATATAATTCTCCAATAAGTGAAAAATTCATGTATAATATGATAACAGTACCATGCAAAGAAACCAATGTGAAAGGAAAGAAAATATCTTGGCTACCACAGACAGGCAAGTTCTATATCCAGAGTCATGAAGAAAGCCAGAATTCTGAAGACTAATTGTATGAGGAGGGCCAGAATGAGAGGCACAGTGTAGCCCCATCTTTGTTCTCTTATCAATGAAATCTGTCTCCCTGGGAGATGTCTCCATATCTCTAGCTCTGCAACTGAATCACAAGTTTTCGAAGTCTGTCACCCTCTCTTGCACCCTCTCTTTCCTAGCTTCTCACAATCTGGGCTGCCCTACATTAACAAGGTAAAAGAGGCTTCACTGAGTAATGATGAGAGTTGAGACAAGCTGCAAGTTGTGCAGGGATTTTGAATAGATTCCTTAAACTGAAAACTCATCATTTATTCCTAATGAGCATTTCTGTATAAGCCATTTCCACTGGCCTACCAAGATGACAACAGGGAAGAGTTCACCTCAGACTAAGGTAAATCCAGGAGGTATATAAGGATATTCCAGATACTACAGTCCCTAAGTCATTATATAACAAATTGAAAAGCTTTAAGCACAATTCTTCACTGTACTGTCTTAGATACTATTCTCTCATTGTTGGGATAAAATACATGATATGCAAAATTAAAGAAGGAAAGGTTTATTTAGCTAAGAGTTCACAGAGATTTCAGCCCGTAATCAGTTAGCTCTAATGCAGGCTGGAATGGCACAGAGGAAAGAGATCAAGGTGTCACAAGGACAGAAAAAGCAACAAGAGCAAAAAGTCGGGTGGGGAATTCAAATTTCCTTTCCTTCCTTCTACGGTAAGCAGGACAGCCCTTTCTATCGTAGGTGTAGCATTCACACAGTGGACATGCCCTCCTGTTGCACAGGATGAGGATGTTTACATACTAAGGACAACAACTCCCTGAGTGGCTTTGTTAAACTTATAAACTTACCCATGAGTTATCATAGTGCTGACCACTTCAGAGTCCAATCCTACTACTGTACACTACTGCAAGTGCAGATGACTGTTCAAAGTATGGGCTATTGTCATTCATTATGAGTCACCACTCTAATGTTCTCAAGGGGTGGTGCATCAAGTCATCCAATTAACAATAATAAATGTACTGCCTCCAAGGAGCTTCTGATGAGAAAGAATAGTGTTTCCTGATGCTAAAGAAATTAAGATCATCTGAGAGGCTGTGTTCAAAAACTAACCTACAAATAGCTAATCTCAAATTTATACACACTTAGTTTTACAGAAGAATCCAAGGGTGTCTGTCAGGCTTGCCTTCATGCATTCTCAGTGGACACGAATTTACAAATTTCTTGACATGCAAACCAATAGTATTATTGAATTTGTAAACTTTGAGTATATGAGTAAAGATAAAACCCTCACACTATCTTGGTTGGGTGATCCACAACTTTGGTCTCATTATCAAATAGGCAGAGGCAAGAAGCTCACAATTTCCATCTTTGCCTGGGCAACATACTGAAACCCAGTGTTAGCATTTAAAATAACCAAAGTGAATATCCCAGTTTCTATTCCCATTACAAGAAATATACAGGATTTCAAAACAAGAAAACAGAAAATCAACAGTGGCAACCATAGTGTCTCTTGTTTTCTTTGAAATAGTTGTTCATATCTGAACATGCAATGAATTCAAACAATATAAAATAGTATAACACTGATCAAAATAGAAGAATGAAAGAAATATAGGCCTTCAAAACCAGACAATAGGAAAAATCAACAGTAGCGACTGTGATGGCTCTTGTTCCTTTCAAAACAGCTCTCTAATTGCTCACATATATTAATATCAAATAATGGAAAAGACACTAAAACAAATCAAAAGAAAGAATAAAAGCACTATAGGATTTCAAAACAAGATGGTGGGAAAACATCAGTGACTACCATAATGTCTTATTTGCTTCAAAATGGCTACTCACACCATCACATACAATAAAATTGGTTCCTCAAACACTTTAGGAGAAATTCTAGGCATGTATAACCCTATACATGTACATCTATCCTTTTTATATTAGAGGGGAAAAGAAAACAGAAAGTACAAAAGATGAAACAAAAGAAACAAACATATACAAAGAATTCATGAATTATTTGAAACAAAAGAGACAATTATATAACAATATCAGAGTCCAAAGCAACAATGTAGGCTTTCAAAACAAGGTT